AATCAGAAAATAAGATCCAGAAGAAATGTGGAACCAAGATCTGAAAACAATGCAGTTAGTTGAGTCAGGGACCTGTACTCACCTCAGAGTTAACTTCTAGGTATCCAATCAAACCCTACATACACAGATACAAATACCAACATACTCTCACTGGAAAAGATACTGAGAATTTACTATTAAAATGAAGATTACGTTAAATAAAACCTTCACAGGTGATGTAAGAATCCCATCAATTACGCTTCAAATTCTGACTGCCCTAATCTGACAAGCAGCAAATGGTTTTGTACGGGTGTATGAACAAAAATGAGAACCTTAGTATTATCTTATCGATTCTCTAACCTTAAGGCACTAAGAAATCAAGATCTCTCTTATAAGTTTTATAAATGAAACCATTAATTCAGTAAAACATCAAACCTCTCCAACCTCACATGTTCCACAAATCAACAATTGGTAGCAAACACACTGACAAACTGCAGAGAAAAGTTCTTAGCACTATGCTGAAAAAAAACAATGCAAGAGCCCTCATTACCTCTTCTTCACTTTCTTTCTCTTCTGAAGAATCATCCTTTTCCTTCTTTTCATCTTCCTCACTGCTTGATTCATCTGACAAGATCTCTGGACACTTGGTGCGTTTTGTTTTTCTCGTTGTTCCAGTACTGCTGCGTTCTTTCTTGCCACCTTTGCTTGGTGTCTTCTTGGACTTCGGCAATGGCTGAAAGCCAGGGATGCAAAAGAATGCAACAGAATGCAAAAGAATATTTTAAAGAAAAATACAAATTCCTTCAAATAATAGTAAAAAAAAAAATACTAAGTACAGAGGTCTGCATCATAAAAACAAAAAACCAGGCCATTTGTACACGTTATTCTTATACCACATTTTGTGCTAAGAAGAAATTCAAAGCACGGGGATAAATCAGAGTAAAAAGAAACTGAATTTCACTTTTAAGCCAAGCATCCCCTTCACTCCCCTAATCAAAGAAATCTTCCACAGTTAAGGATCAGGGAAGCACAAACAAGGAAACTTTACATTACCCATAAAAGTACACTTTTTCTTCTAGCAGCAGATTAGCTGACAACTCTTGAGATTATACAAAACTGCATTTTGTTGTTACTCAGACTACCAGCATCCCTAAGGCAGTGTGCTGACTTGGTACACACTACTTCTCAGTGTTTGCTGCAAATAAACTGAAGTTTCCTGAGCAACAATCTAACTAGTTTGGCATTGCTTACAGATTAAAAACTGACTGCCATTATGTGATACTACTATGTCTGTTCTCTTGCACTCAGCCACAAAGCAGATGCTGCCTACTGGAATTTGGGAATGGCTGTCCCTAATTAGCTCACATATTAATCATGAATTCTGTTTAGTGCTTTAAAGCATAAAGGCAGCTGCATTTTTTTGCCAGGACAGAGTTCTCAAAACAAGCATAACCTGCATCTCACCTTGCCTGAAGACTTTGGATGCATTAAGAAGTTTAAGATTCTGGTTACCAGCTCACTGTTGACTCCTGATCTTTCCAAATCAAGAACTTCACAGATACTTTTCAACATCGCATTTCTAAATCTGGAGAGAGAAAAAAGGAAGAGAAAATCCAAAGTCTTTAGTTAAACACATTATAAACAACAGATCAACATTTAACTGATCTATGCCTACAACCCGACATCGATTTGTTAAGACTAGATTTACTGCTTTATATTATTTTCAAACCCTTTTCATTCCAGTTACAACCAATCTGCAGCACCTTCTTCTGTTAATAGGGCAGTAGCTTATGTGGAGAAACAGTACAAACAAAACAAAAAACATCACTTTGTTACACTAAATGCTCCAGATCATTACGTTTATCTCACAGCAATTCTAGGAATAATACTGTGCTTTTAATATACATTAAGCAAAAATGGGTTTTGATTCTGAAGGAGAAAGGTTTTAAGGCACAGTGGGATGAAAGCTTGCACCATGAATGGAGTGTAATGTAAATTCTGTAAAGACAAATGTTGCAAATAAAAAGATGGTACAGCATGAGTCAGACTATATGAAGCAGCAATGGAGATCATTACTTTTTTAACATCTCCTCCTTCTTTTTGTATTGGTCACTTCCTTTTTCAAATGGAAACCCGCTGAACTGACCCACATTCTTCTTTAGGGAAGCAACCTAGAATAGAACACAGATTAACTTCTATTACATGCAGCTTAAAGGACTTCATCCAATTATGTTTAACTTTTCAAAGAAAAAAAAGTCTGTTCTATCTTGCAGCTTACCGTCGATGAAAACTAGCACCTATATAAAAAACCCAATGAACATTCACTTCTACATCTTATGCCTCTGTTTTTCTCATGACAGCTAAATTACAACTAAGTTCCTGGGATCTTGGTAATTTAATTCCTTTTAATAACTTGCATGGAAAAATCACCTGCTGTTTGGAGCTTATAAATAATACAGTACATGCAAAACATGTTTGTGCAACGATGATCACAGGAAGCCTGACGTTCACTTTGTACTGTATAGTTTGCTATAGAATAGTGAACTTTCAGTATATGACCTGTTAGAGCTGATTAGCTCTATTTGCTTTTTAAATTCTCACATAGGATTGTGACTGCACTTCTGAAGCTCTTCTTCTGCATGATCAATTTATGTATTTACACATCACTCAACTGACAAGGCTGGCCATTAAGCAGGTGGAGTGAACAGGAGCAAGCTTTCATCATTACAGACAGTCCTCATAATGAAAAAAATCACTCCTATCTACAACCAAGAATGAAGTTCCTTAGCTTTTTCTTCATCTCTTCTTCACAAAAAAAGTTTCAAAGAATCCCAAAATGTTATGAGAGGTTTATAATGTTACCAAGTACAACCTGCAACTACTTTCAACAATTTTACAGATCTTCTTTCTGGTGTTCCTCCACTAGTTTACAATTTTACCAGTGCCAAGCTCCTTGTGTTCCACCCAGTACCTATAGAAAATCTGCAGATGTGTCAGCATGTTTTATTAAACATTACCTACTTTCTGAAGCACATATAGAACATGCATACAAAACATCATCTGATTTCCTTGACCTTAAATGGCATTCTGAAATCCCTACAACTCTGATTAAATATGGTTTTCCATGAACTCATGCTGGTATTTCCAAATGGTACCTACTTATATGCAAACATATTCACCTCTATTCCAGCTCAGAGGCACAGCTTTCACAAAAGTTATGCAAATACAGTCAATCTTCAAAGAATCTGATCATTAGAATTTTCTGGGACTAGAAATATTTTTATATATATTTCTATAATTAGAAACCACAAATTTGCTGTTAAAAGTTCTGTAAATTGTGACTCTGGTCAATGATGGACATACTTTGTTCTACAAGACAAGGCTCTAAATTTATCAGTGATTATCACTTTAGGTTAGGACACAAATGCTACAATAAAAGGTTTAGAAATAGAACAGATACAGTTTTTTAAGAGAGAAACTTTCCACGACGAACAGAATCTTGTCATCTCACAGTATGTTGTCCAGCTATCTCAGTCACTTTAGCAAGTGATGCTGCCTGATTTCCCCAAGCAACAGGTCTCACAGGAGCATCAGAACTCCGCAGGAAACCAGAAGGCTGCCTGAATAATACATCAAGGGCAATTATCTGTTAAGGAGCTAAGACAGCAGGAATCTATGTAAGCTCAAAAACAGCTTGAAGAATGTTGTTTTATTACATGGATCATCTGTATGTAAGATAGAAAATTATTTGTATTGGTATTTATTTGTAGAACAACTGAGGCTGAAGTAAACTATTTTTGTCTTAAGTAATGCAAGCCACATGTAATCAGAACAAAGCCAGATAAATGCAAGCATGTTTGAGGAACCTGAACCCAAAGCAGAACTTTGTAAAGCCACCAGAACCTATGTAACCATAGTAATTCAGCCTGAGGCACACTGTTCAGGTGACTTTCTGTGAAATACCATGTTTTGGGCAGTAGGAAGGTGGACAGCTACAGAACGTAGTGAGGGTGACCTAAAGACTCAGAGCACTGGGACACTAGAGCAATAGCCTTTAACAGCTAGCTGGATTCTCCAGCAAGCCTACATCCAAATGGGAGCACAGAGCAAAGCAGGGCGGAACTGCACCCAAGTAAATGGCGTGGGATGGAACAGTGAGAGTTGCATTTCAACTGCACTTCTGTCTAACTCACAATATTGAAGAGTATTAAATATCAGTTTCCAATCACATTATTTTGCACGTAATTCTGAAACTGCTAATAGTCACGTGCCCATTAGCTGACTGTGTTAATAAGCAATTCACTTAGTAGTTGGTGATAATTGTTACTGAGCTGTTAGTGCCTTAGTGACACACTACATAGCCAATAAGCGTTATGGACTCCTCAGTCAGTTACTCCTCAGATCTGTGAGCCATGGTGGGAGAGAGGGATTCACAGTACCTCTACCAGAAGATGATATAAAAGCATCACTAGTTTCATAAATGGATGCAGTTTCACAACTTGCACTAAAAATCTAGTTTGATCAGAAAGCTACTCGGTTGTCATTCCACTTTTCCCATCAAATGATGAAATTCTACTACAAAACAATCCAAATGTCTGTATACAGAGCCAGAAATACTTGATTTGTTAACTGACACACCAAATAAATACCACAATTCAGAGATTTTAATGAATATACACTGTTTTTTTCCCTCCTGAATAGTTGAGATCACAGACCTTCACTGTGTCATTTAAACAACCACAGCATTTGCAGCAGTGGTTTCAGATATTCTAACCAGCATTTGTACTTGTATTACTCAGTTCCTCATTTCTGTGTTAGCTGTTTAAGTTTCTAAAATACAAGAGCTTAAAAATAAAGTGCATTGAAGTGATAATGTTGAATCTGCTTTAATTACTCCATCTCCGTTTCACTCCTAGTAGCAAAGTAAATGGGCCAGATGTATTCTGAAATTTAAGGCATGATCAATCGTATGTAATAGGCACTAAGAACTATTTGCTATTATGGATCGAGTTTGATCTTTGGATACAAGAGAGAGCATAGCTTTTTTTTTTCATTAATCTTTCAGTTCAGGCTTATTTTAGGCAAATATGACAAAATCACTAATTAAAATGTTATGTATTGATCTACTTTTGCTTTCTATTGCTTTGTGGAGAAAATGACTAGGTAGGTAGCAATGTAGTGAAACCCACGAGTGCAGGTTCCACACAGAATAAATGAAGCAGTAAGACACAGCTGTATTCAAATAACTATACAGACTACAGTCAAAATATTCCATGTACATCAGCAGTTTTAGCATGTCAGCCATGAACTATTGCCAATTCATTTGCATAAAGTGATCACTAACCTGGAGTGGAGAGGAAGGGGGAAATCTACATTCTATAGGCTTACAATTCAGCATCCCTCTCCACAAGATTTTCAGAGTAGCTTACAGAAATTAGAAGAATTATGGGCTCGAGTAACTATTCCTTTAGCAGTAATTTTCAAGAGTAGTTTGTAATAAATGACACTTAAGTAGATCTGTATGTGCAAATGCAAAAGAAAACAACGCCTACAGGATAAACTTTTTCACCATGCATGAGAATTACTAGTTATACAGATAGATTTTAAGTTCTCACAGTGCCTGGCCTGTTGTAGAGGAGTTTGTGCAGGTTCCGAAGTTCATCTGTCTTCTTTTTACTCAGAAAGAACTGTATCCTTTCAATTTCACAAAGTTTTTGTCCTTTTCCTGAAACAAATAAAAGAAAAAAAACACAAAGAAATCACCTTCTTATTTACCCATCTGTTCACAACTTCAAATATCCATCTACCTATATATTCTATCTATACATATTTTTTTAATGTAAAAGAAGTTATTTCTGCAGAGCATCAAGTCAAGTGTTGGGGAGGTCATTCCCTATCAACTAGGCACTGATAATGGCTTTTTTTCCTTACTTGAAATTACCTGTAACACGGCTAATAGACTTGGCATTTCTTTTTAGTCTAGATGTTCCAACAACAGTGGTAGCTAGATACTGAAAAGCCTATTCAGAGCTAAGTTTAAACATTACATGATTTCTATTGTTTAATGTGACCTTGTAGGATAAAAGACAGTTTTCACATAATTGTAACAGCCTTTCTGCTCGGAAATGCACAGTGATTCAGTTAAGTTAGGTCTCACCTACAAGATAACAATTTGATCTTTTGAGAGGTTTCATCTTCATTTCAACACCCATAATTCTTACCTGAAAGGACAAGCTTACCTGGTGTAATTGTAAAAGGTTCCTTTTGTAACGAGGACACTTGCATGGTCAATCGGTCTACCTTCTTTTTCTCCCTTTTTCCTTCAACAATGAGACTCTTTTCTGCAAAACACAGGGTGTTTGTTTTTTTTTTAAAGTTTTTTTCCTCATTATATCAGCAACTCCACTGCAGTGATAGGCAATACACCTCTGAATTATTGCAAAAGCAAAACAAAAAAGGATAACAATATAACCAAGCATTATAAGACTTCCAAACCTTTGGATAAAGGTCGATAGGATTTTACAGAGCTGTAGATCTGAGTCTCTGGTCCTTAACTACAATCCTACATCCAACCTATCCTTGAAGGTGGACAGTGGACATTTCCTAAAGGGCTCTTCATCTCACGATGAAGATGGCATCTCCATGCATTATCAGAAATCCAGCCTTCTCTCCTTTCTTCACCTTTCTAAGGTACAGAGCAGATGCTACTTGCACAGTCTCATTTTGTCCCCTTCTGCTCCAGCCCCCAGATGCACAGCTCTACTCCAGTTCTTTACAGGAAAGCTAACAAATGGGCAAAGGGAGAATCCAGCTTGCTTGCAGCCTCTTTCTCTTCCCACCAGTGGAATGGAGAACACATAGCAGAATGCTATCAGTAGAAAATGCAGATACATAAGGATAGTGGGACTGTACCAAATCACACACAGACATGCTGTGCAGCACTCTGCAGAGCACAATACTAACATCTTCCAAACTATCAAGAACATTATTACAAATAATGTAATATAAGACTTCTTCCTTTTAGTGGAAGGAATCTGTTCACAGTAAGAAGTTCAAAACTAGATGACCTTTAAGGTACCTTCCAACCCAAAACCATTCTATGAATACATTTAGATTGGCTTAATGGATACATTCCGTATAGCTACTTTAACAACACTACATCAAGAGAAAAGCCTCACTGTTTCACAAACATGAACACCTTGTTGTAAGACACCTGACCTTATATCACATATCACACTTTCCTTTCACATAGTGTTGCTCTGGCCTTAACATAGAAAAGCAGCTTTATAATGCATACAAACATTAATCTGGACACATACCTGGTGAGAACACAGCAAAACACACTTGTGAATAGACAATCAGCTGCTCGTAAAAAGCTAGTTCAAATTACTCCATTGCTCTTAAAACAGCATAACCTTTCTACTACGTTTTTCTAAAGACAAAGCTCTGCTCCTTTAAGAACACAAAACCATCATTGACATGGTTTTCACTAGCCATACCACAGCTCTGTTTGCACAGATGTTTTCATTTGCAAAATAGTTGCCTAGAGATTTAACACCAGCAGTTTTGCATAGTAGTTCCTTCCTCACATCTCCTATGCCTTCACTACCCTCTTCACATACGTGATGCAGTCTATCATGCTTGTCTCTTCAACAGCACCATGACTTCCGCTGGTAAAATAAGTCACATGGAATTCCTTCACCACTACAAATAAGTCGTGGCACCCAAAAAAGTAATTATCAGTTGGTTGGCAAATGATAGCTGTATTATTCTAAAGCAATGCCAGGGTTATTTCCACTTGTCTATCTTTTGCAAGTGTGTATTGCCTCAAAGTGTTACAGGCAAAAAAAAAAAATTAAAATTAAAATGCTCAATTTTCAGATAATGATTTGATACAGGATGATATGTCTTAAAATCTCCAGAAGTTTCTCCAGCAACAAAAAATCCCTACTGTACGAACTGAAAATGCTGGTAATCCCTCCATTGTTTCCTAAGGAATATAGTATTGTTATTTCTAGTCTCGTCTGTTTTAGTCTACTGGAAAATGATTTGTGATCCATGAGATGTACAATTGCTGTTAGGAGATGCTGCAGTACAATTGCCCAGCAAGGTTGTGGATGCCCCATCCCTGGAAGCACTCAAGGCCAGGCTGGATGGGGCTGTGAGCAACCTGTTTTAGAGGGCGGTGTCCCTGCCTATAGCAGGGGTTTGGAACTACATGATCTTCAAGGTTCCTTCCAACCCAAACCATTCTATGGTTCCATGACACGTACCCTTTTCTTCTTCTTCTTCCTCTTCTTCCTCCTCCTCATCCTCCTCGCTTTCCTCAGCTTTGCTTTCAGTCTCAGCTTGTTTCTCATCTGCTTTTTCAGATGACATCGTATCTTCTTTAGAGGAAGCAACAGCAGACATGGTGTGCAGTTCTGTAGAAAGCAGTGGGCAGAGCCATGAGAACACAGCACCCTTGCAGAAGCTGCGGGCGTTCCCATGTTTGAAGACACGAACTCAAACACCCTGCTTATACGCAGCACCTAACATAACTCAGAAGCTGTCGCTCGTTCTGCAGCTACTGAAGAGGTTTATCAGCACTTTCCACACACCAGTTCCCAAACTGTGAAACATTCGGAAACACACAGAGGAAACAAACAGGCGACGGGAACCGCGGGCTGCACTATGAAGGAGAAAAAGTTCACACCTTCTTGCAAAATGCCCAGAAAATGTCTCTCGCGGGGTACAGGCAACAAAACCCTCCGGTTTTTCTTGAGAAAAAGCGATCGCTCTGCCCAACCTGCCTTTCCCCGCCTCTTAGCGCAGAAGAAGAACAGAAAGTTGGGAACTTTCCGCCTTGGCAACGCCCAGACCGGCGAGGAGGGCTGGAGAGGGTTGAAAGCGCCGAGATCCGCTTCTCAGAGTTACACCGGGGATATTTTCGGCCGGGAAGGGGAGAAAGGAGGGGCCCCTCCCGCCTGCGACCAGCCCCGCCAGCCGCCCGTCCCGGCGCGCAGCCCGAACGACGCGATGGCGCCAGACAGCGCAGCACGAACGCGGCGGCCGCCCGCCCGCCCCCCCCCTCCGCCCCGAGGAGAGAACGCGGTCGCTCTGCAGGGCCCGGTGCGGCCATGGCGGGCGGACACACCTCGTTTCGAGCCCCGGCTCCTGCAGCGGGAGCGACTGTGGCGGCAGGGTCGGCGGGTGGCGGCGGGGAGGGCGCGCGGAGGGGGAGGGGCGGGGCGCTGCCAGACTGAGTCGCGCGCCCCGCGTCCCGCTCGCTCTCACCTCTCTCTCTCTCCCTCTCTCTCCCCCTCCCGGAATCAACAAGGTTTTCAAAATGGCGGGTTCTCAGCCGGGGAGAAGGAAGCGGGAAGACGGCGGCCAATCAGCGCCGGCGCGGGGAGGGCGGGCGCGGAGGTGGGCGGGGCGAGAGGGCTGCGCGCGCAGAGCGAGGGTGGGGCGAGAGAGGCGCTTTGCGGCCGTGTGCCGCGAGGGGGCGCCCTTAACCTCTGTGGTGACGTCACGGCCGCTGGCTGCGCTGAAAGAGGTGTTTGGGAGGGTCGTGCGCTTGTCGCTCAGACCATCGAATCACAGAATGGCCTGGGTTGAAAAGGACCACAATACTAATCCAGTTCCAGCCCCCTGCTGCGTGCAGGGTCACCAACCAGAAGACCAGGCTGCCCACAGCCACATCCAGCCTGGCCTCGAATGCTTCCAGGGATGGGGCATCCACAACTTCCTTGGGCAACCTGTTCCAGTGCCTCACCACCCTCTGGGTGAAAAACTTCCTCCTGATATCTAACCTAAACCAGATGCTGCAGCTCGCACTGCACAAGGGCAGGGCTGCGGAGAGCATCTCCCCCCTCAGTTCCTACAGCAGCTGCAGTTTCCATTCCCAATGTTTTTTTAAACCTGTTGTGAATACAGATGGTGGCAGTTTGAAAAACGAACGTCATTTGCCAGCCATGCATAACTAGGCAAGCCTGAAGCTCAGGACACTTAAGTACCTGGCCATTAAGCCATGGGCCACGCAAACAGCATGAGAAAGAATCATAAAATCGCTCAGGTTGGAAAAGACCTTCAAGGTCACCAAGTCCAACCACAACCTAACCATCCTACCCTCACTCTAACAAAGTTGACTGCTAAATCATGTCCCTGAGCACCGCATCCAAATGGCTTTTAAACACATCCAGGGATGATGACTCAACCTGCTCCCTGGGCAGCCTATCGCAGTGCTTAACAACCCTTGCTGTCAAGAAGTTTTTCCTGAAAGATGTCGAAAGACAACGGGCGGCCCCCTGCAAACCCACGGGCTGGGGGCTGTCGAGGGCGGCGACAGCGGACCGGCTTCACGTCGCCTCACCGAACCCCATCGGGAATGCCCCGAGCAGAAGCGAAGCCGGCCGCTCCGCGGTGCGGCGCCGGGCAGCGGGCCGGCACCGAGCCACCGCGGTACGCCGTCGGCGCGCGTTGCCGCACGTCTCCGCTGGCAGCACTCGCGGCTATGACAAGGAGCCGCTGTCCCGGCCTCGGGGCTCCCCCCGCCCTCAGCGCTCGCAGGGGGCAGGCGGGCGCGCGGGGGCACCGGTCCCGGCGTCCCGCTCGCTGGCAGCCTCCAGCCGGGCGGGGAGAGGCGCGGCGAGGGAAGGCGGGCGCGGGCAGAGCGGCGGCTTTACCCGCCGGGAGGTGCCCACCCCCACCGTTCACGGCCGGGAGGAAAACGCCGCCAGGAGCCGAGGTGAGGGGCGGCACGCGTGCGACGGGCACCTGCGGGGCGGGGAGCCGCGCTCCTGCCGCCGCTCCTTCAGCCGCGGCGCTCGGCCGGGCGGGCGGCGGTGCGTGCTGGGGAGCGCGGGCTGCTGGCGTTCCCTCGTGCGGCAGAGGAGAGCTTCTCCCAGCTTTGCGGCTCTCGAGCGGTTCCTCTCGGCTCTGGCAACTTTTGCGGTGCGAACCGGCGATGAACGCGGGCTTGCCGTAGTTCTGGCGGACTTTCCTGAGTACGTTCCGTCCATGAGGCGTGCTTTGCCACACGTGAGGTGCTGGGGCGGCTGCCTGAAGTGGCTGCTGCTGTGAGAAGCCTTCTCCCCGCTCAGATCTGAGCACCTAATGTATTTATTTCTAAGTACTTAAGCTGGGTGCAGAAAGAAATGCTAAATCTACAAGTATTTTCTGTCCGTAGTTGAAACAACTATATTTAATCTCTAGAAAGTGAGATCCTAACTGAAGTCGTTGGAAGGTCTGCATGTCTGTACGTTACGTGCAAGCTGCTTTAAAATTCCAGGGCCTGCCATGTGAATTTGGTATGAATCATGTCTTATTTTTAAAGAAATGGAATTCCGTGCTGAAAATATTCACGGCATATTACAGGAATACCCATGGCCTGGCTTAGACTAACAAAATGCAGAAAATTCAGCGTGGAGGCAAAGCATTTATCCTCATTTCACCTCTGTGTGCTGGGTTTCTAGACATTTCTCCTCACAAAGTGTGTAGTTATTGGCTGTCTGGCCCTTCCAGGACTTCAAGTTTAGTAAAGTGGGTAAATGCCAGGTAGCCAAATTCTGCTCCCAGTTACTCCAGACTGTTCGCCATGGTAACTCCGTTTGTTTCAGTGCTGTTATTTTCCATTTACAGGACTATACCTGGATACTGAATTTATTCAATACGTTTATCATATTTTGTGAATTTTGTCTGCTTGGGTCAAGCTTTAGGACAGGATTCGTTTGTAATACGAACAACGTACAATTTAGCTGGTTCTTCTCTGCAATAGAGCTTGTAGAATTGAAAGTATAGGTGGAACACGTGTTCTTAGTAGGGGCAAGAAACCACAATGGTGTTTTGTGTGGCTAAAAGCCATAAGCATTCAGTTGTGGTGATCTGTTTAGTGGAAATTCTGATATGTCAGAACTAAAAGCTTTAGGAAACTATTTTATATGGATGCACAGAAATAGCCTTGCAGAGTCACAACCAGAAGGACTTTTAGAGTTATAAAAAAAGTCTTAAAGAATTTCAGTAATGACATTCTGAAGTAGTGACAACTCAAATATAGGAAGCTTGTACTTTCCTCTTTGGTGGCTGAACCTCAAAGGCTTTGCACATGTCTGTGTCTGGTTTCCGCTTTGTGTGAGGTGGGTTCCACTATAATAGCACACCCCAAGGAAAGCTGTAAGAGGCCCACTAAGAGCTGCAGAGGTTTAGCGTGGACCAGAAGGTTTGCAGTTTCACCATTCAGGTTCTGGGTTTGATCCTTTTCTATATGAATGCATTTTTAGTGAGTATTTGGATAAAGCATGTCTGCAGCATTAGAAACTAGAAAGACATGTTAACTTACCGAAGTCTACAGAGGGAAAATGTCCTATCTCTGTTATATTTGTACATTTGACGTCAAAGTATGGGATGTTAGAGATAAATTGGCAAAAGCTTAGTTAAATATTGTCACATTTCTTTAAGTGGAAACCAGTTTGATGATGTTTATTTGAAGTATCACTTTTGATAGCAGTGTTTTGGAGGGGAGGTGTGCTTTAAGGCCTAACTGGAAGGGTGAAACCCCAAAATTATTTGTCATTTGAAGGGGAAAGTAAAAGTAAATACTCTGAAGTCTCTGCTGAGCTGCAGCCCTAAACTAAATATTAATCAAAGGTATAAAGACTTTAATTGTGACTTCTGTCACTACATTTCTTTACATGTTTCTGTTTGTTTTATTGTGTTTCCAGAATAATTTCAGTTTGACATGCGTTTATGACATAGTTCCAAGAAGCATGCATGTACAATAATGACTAAGAGTACATTTAGGCCGGGAAGACTGAATTGCTCCTGCTTCCTGCAATGGATTTAGCTGGCTGAAACTCATTGTTTTGAAAAGTGCTGTGGAATAGTACATTGAAATGCTGTGGACAGGTTTGAAAGCTGTGAAACTTATCATTCCTGCCTAGCAGCTGTGGATATGCTGATAAAGATGTCTTCTTTGACTGAGGTTAAAATAAAGACTGAAGCTTGGTAATTACCAGATAAAGCAATCTGACTTACAGGCTTTATGGCATCTAAGTGAAGAGTATACCTGCTGTTTTAACATGAGGAAGGTTTTGCTCACAACAAGCCCATAGGAAATTCAAGGGCATTCAGTACTTTATTATGCTAAAAAAACAAGGATAGTGGAGATTACAGATTCTGTGATACAAAGGGAGGGTGGCTGGATATTTGCTGGGAAGGCAGTAGTCAGTAATGCAAAATTAGGTTTCTCCTTAATTTTATTTCTAGCACTTCAGTCACTCTTTGTGGAGGAAGGCACTGATTTAAACTCACTGATCTTTAACAGCTGCTCTACCTTTTTTAACTTTCCATGCAGAAGAGAAACTTGCAGCCTTTGCAAATGTTTATTGCTTCTTTAAACAAAAAGTCATTTTCATGTTTTAGTCCTTTTCTCCTGACCATAACAGTAATAGATTCTGAAATCTTACACAAAACATTATGTTTACTTATGCTGATGGATTTTTGAAAATACTCACTGAAGGTTTAAATGTGCTGTGCCAAAGTGTTGTTTATTGCTTCAATTTTCATCTTCGAAAAAGAAAAGTACAAAGTCTTTTGAGCATGGAGATAGAATACAGGTTTTCTGCCTTGTGCATATGAATCTAACAGTCACTTTCTGTGGCACTGGATAAGAGTCAGTGAAAGGTTTCTGTCCCCGGGCTTTTCAGGTACAATGTGGAGAAAATACTTACAGGAATATTCTGAAGCTCACTCAAAAAGATGAAACACCGTGTAGTACTTAGTGAATGGCAGCTATAAGTACTCAGAATGTTTAGTGAAATGGTATTTTTTTAAAAGCAATTCCTATAAAGTTGGACTAAGTTTCCTTGGTAAAAATACCCAAACACAAAAGTAACCTTTTCTTAAATGCAAATTGGTACACTAGGCATTCTGCTTATTTCTTCAGGCAGTATCACGACGCTGTTTTATACAATCTAATTCCAAAAATAAGACTGCTCTGGAAAATGCTTTGCTTCAAGCAGTCCCAATACAAGTCAAAATTATTGCAAGGATGCCACAGAAGGCAAAATTTATTTGCCTGAGGATGAGTGACGCTGCTTCTGAAATGTGGACCTTGCAAATAGACTTTCCAGGAATAAATCACATCACTGCCCGCGTGCATCTGTGGGTAATTGGTCAAAGGTTTTCAGAAAATTCACAGCCTAACTAATTAATATGCATCTCTTGACTCAAATATAAACTGCATAGTTGGATTCATAGAGGAGATAATAAATATCTTGGAAGAAGAGTTGGATTTTTTTTCTGTCTCATCTTTTTTTCCCCCCTTCTACTCTGTCCTCTTTTGCCCCATGTATGTTTGTTGTAAGTAAACAAATTGCTCCTGA